AATTTGTGTATGCAATAATATCGCAAAAAAATCATTGGAAACCTAACGAAAAAAATATATTTGTTTGTTTTTTTATTTGCTTATTGCAAACTTAACTGAAATATATTTAGTTGGATTAGGTTGAATTAAATTGCGCTTGTTATAATAAGGTTAAGTAAATTTTCTAAGGTTCTTTTGGTACAAAAGAACCTTTGATATTAAAAGTCTTTAGAAGAGAAGGCATATCAACCAAGTTTTCATCGTAAGGGAGAACCAACATATTTTTAGTTGAATAAGGTCTGTTTTCTCATCAATGTTTTTGGGAACTTTACGTATTTGTAGTCCAGAGTTCATAGATGAAGAAATATCCAAAATTTATGAAGTAACTAATGATCTGAAATACCGAAGAAACGTAATTGATAAATCTTTTAAAATTGCTAGAAATACTTTTTACAATCCAAAAAGGGACAACCAACCTTATTCAACTAAAAATATGTTGGTTCTCCGATATGTTGGTTCTGCGATAAAGTTTATTACGGTCAAACTGGTAAAAGCCTCTAACGAAGATTAAAACAACATAAATATAGCAGAACTGGACAAGATTCCAATGCACTATTTATTCATGTAAGAGATTTTAGCCATCCAATTGATTTTCAAAAAGTTGAGAAAGTTGTATCAAGCAAGTCCATGGTCGACAGGAATATAATTGAATCATGTTTCATAGAAAGCAATTTTGAAAATAATATGAATATTTCATTTAGTTTATATAAATTAGATCCATTTATAATTAATAAAATTTGGAAAGAATTTAATAATACATTGGACAAATAATAAATCTTAATTCTTGGGTACAGTACTAGGGTTGGGCAAATATTTTGTTAAGTACAGTGGTGACCTGTACTTAACCGAGTGGTGACCTGTATTAAGAGTGGTGACTTGTATTTAAGAGTGGTGACCTGTACTTAACTCTGTGAAGACGTGTCTTGTGTGCTCTCTGTGAATCTAAACAAGATGTCCTCTCTTGAGCAACTCTACCAGCAGTGAAAGGAAGAACTGAGGATGGCTAAGCTTGAGATACAGCGACTGAGGAAAACAAGATTAGTAGTAATCCTCCTGTTGAGAATCCTCAAGCCAAGAAAGGAACCTGGACCGTGGCTGGAAAGCATAGGACAAAGTTAAGGATCAAGAGGACAGATGGAAAGGTAAAATCAACGAAGATCCAGGAAACTGTTGTGGAAACATCGAACCCATTCTCCGTGCTACCTGGCGATTGTGAGTCGACTACTTGGAACATCACGACGAACGACGCCAAAGAAGGTAAAAACGTTGTTGTTCTTGAGGATAGCCAGGTTATGCACATGGATAGGGCCTTCTGCTTGAAGGATACGAGTAGGAGGCAGAGGGTGTGTTTTCCTGGGGCTGGGATGAAGGATATTGTTAGCCGTCTGAACGACATCATGAGAGGTAATGAGAGCAATCTTATTATCTGTCTCAGTGCTGGAGGCAACGATGTTGGCAGACGTAGGAGTGAAGACCTGATTAGCAGGTATAGGTCAGCAATAGAGATAATTAGGAGGAAGGGTGGGAACCCTGTCATATGTGGAGTTGGAAATGAATGGTTGTCCAGGGCAATTGGTGTCAATTGCTGGCTGGACAAATACTGTAAGGAAAATGGGGTAACATTCATTGACAACTGGGACCTCTTCTATGGCAGAAACGACATGTATGCTAGGGATGAGGTTCACTTATCTAGGTCTGGGGTGGGAGCACTGGCAACTGCAGTGGAGGGAGCTGTTAGGACTTTAAACTAGGAATAGTTAGTGGTATGGGTTTTGGCGGGAAAACAGTGAAGTCCCAGTGTAGTAATATGAGTACTAGGAGAACTAGTAATAGGCAGAATGAGGTGGATATTGGAAAGCCAGTGGCACTAGGTGACAAGGACAGTAATAGGTTTAGTGGAAAAACAGAAATTAGCAGTAAGGGTAAAGAAAAAGGAGGGTCTTTAAATATACATCATGATAATAGCCGTAGTGCTAGGAATAAGATGGACAAGTTGAGATTAGTTGCTAGTGCAGGTAACAATGTATTTGCCATCACTGAGACATGGTTTAATTCAAAAAGTCGGGACATGCCTGCAGAATGTTTTATTCAGGGTTTTAAATTGTTCCAAGTAGAACAGAAGTATCGGGAAGGGGGGTGGGGTGGCATTGTATGTCCGAGATCGCTTGAACTGTTGCATAAAAACAGGTATTAAATCTGAAGTAACACAGAGTCTGGATAGAATTTTCAGAGGGGCATGAAAATTTTATTTTAGGTGTGATATACCGTCCCCCAAACTTAGATAGGGACCAAGGGAGACTACTATGAGAGGAAATTGTTAAGGCCACAAGCACAATAACGTAGTAATTCTAGGAGACTAACTTTAGTCATATTGATTGGAATTTCTTGACTGAGAATTTAGAATCAAAGGACTTCATAGAAGTAGTTCAGGATTGTTTTTTGAATCAGTTTGTGACAGAGCCTACAAGGGGAAATAACCTGCTTGACTTGGTTTTGGCAAGCAAGGAAACCCTTGTTAATAATTTAGAAATTACAGAGGAGCTCGGCACAAGGGATCACAAATCAATTTACCTTTAGCATTGAATGGAAGTATGATAGTAGGGATAATTCAGTAATGGTCCCAGATTTTCGCTTAGCAGATTACAATGAGTTTTGAGAACACTTATCTGTGGACTGGGGTAACGAAGAGAGCTGTCAGTATGACAGCTTTCTTAACTCAATACATACTGCCCAAAGGACACTTATCCCATATAAGGAAATTAGATCGAATAGAAATGACCCAAAATGGATGAATAATAGGCTCAAATATCTTTTAGGACAGAAAAAAAGGAATTTATAGGCGCATCAAAAGAGGTGAGGGTCATCTTACGAATCCATATATTGACATTAAGAAGGACCTTAAAAAAGGGATAAGAAAAGCTAAATGAGACTATGAAATTAAAGTTGCTAGTGATTCGATAACTAACCCAAAAAGTTTTTTCCAGGTTTATAGAACAAAAGTTAGAGATAAAATAGGTTAACTTAAAAATAACTATGGGCACCTTACTGACAAGGAGAATGAAATGTGCTTTATTCTTAATAATTATTTTCTCTCGGTTTTCACTCAGGAAGACACTAACTATATCCCAGTAATTAATTTTTATAATGGGCTTGAAGACGATAAATTATGCAACATGACAGTCACTAGCGAAATGATTATCAAACAGATAGACCGGTTAAAGCAAAATAAATCCCCGGGCCCTGATAAACTTTTTTCCAGGGTTCTTAAAGAGTGTAAAATGGAACTTTGTGAACCATTAACTAATATTTTTAATTTATCTCTTCAAACAGGTGTAGTGTCTGATATGTGGAAGATGGCTAATGTAATTCCTATTTTTAAAACAGGGGACAAGTCGTTACCGTCAAATTACCGCCCAATAAGCCTAACCTCAATTGTAGGCAAGTTACTAGAGTCAATTATAGCTGAGATTATAAGAAGCCATCTGGATAAGCATAGCTTGATTAATGATACCAGCATGGATTCCCCGAAGCCGTTCCTGCCTAACTAATTTATTAACCTTCAGTAAAGCTTTTGAGGCCGTTGATCCATGAAAAGAAATCGATATTGTTATTTTGATTTTAGTAAGGCTTTTGATAGAGTACCGCACCAGAGACTTTAAAGAAAGTGCAGCTCATGGCATTGGGTGGAAAAGTCTTCATGGATCGAGTCATGGCTCACTAAAGGAAGCAGAGAGTATGCTTTAAAAGAAGCTAAATCCGAGTGGGGATCTGTAACAAGTGGCGTTCCACAGGAATCAGTCTTGGGCCCGTTGTTAAAATATATATCAATGACCTTGATGAGGGAATTACTAGTGATATGAGCAAATTCGCCGATGACACAGAGATAAGTAGGATAATTGATTCAAACGTAGATGTCACGGAACTTCAGGAGGATTTTGCAACCAATTCCGGTCAAAAAAATGGCAGATACAGTTCACTGGGAGATAAATGCAAGGTTCTGAAGCTCGGGAGTGTCCCATAACCAGTACTTATCAGTTAAATAACGTAGAACTTAGCCATACAGGTTGCGAAAAGGACTTGGGGTTATGGGGAGCAGCAACCTTAAAAACCCAAAACAGCAGTGCCTAAGCGTATGTAACAAAGCAAACAGATCCCGGATTTATATCTAGAAGTGTAAGCAACAGAAGTCCACGGTTATTTTACAGCTTTATACATCATTTTTAAGGCCTCACCTAGATTATGCAGTTCAGTTCTCGTCTCCATATTACAGAATGGATATAAATTCGCTAGAAAACATCCAGTGTAGAAATCTTCCGTTTCGAAGAACAATTGAAGACTCTTAAACTACATTCACTTGTAAGACGAAGACTGAGGGGAGACATGATCGAAATGTGTAATGGAAGATGTGGTATAACAAAGGGATATAAAAGGTTTTGAAGGATATTCCTTCAAGAAAAACCCGCAATAATAAATTCAAATTAGATAATTTAGATTTCGAAAGGATATGGGAAAGTATTGGTTTGATGATGAAGGCTGATGTGAACAGTCTGTCTAGTAGGGTTATTTAAGCAAAAACGTTGGGTAGTTTTCAAATTTAGGTTGAATAAATACATGATAAAGGGGTTTGGGTTTGAGTGGGAATTGCCGTGATTTTAAAAGAATTATCAAAATTTATTGCTTGGTAAATTGAAAATTGGTTGGGCAAATATTTTGTTAGTGGGATGAATGTGAAAAGGGCCTGCCTAGTATGGGCCAACAGGGCCCGCTGCAGTGTTCCTCGTTTCTTATGTTGAAAATATAAAGTACGTTTTATAAAGTTCTGGTTGATTGCAGTTTGCTTTTAAACCCAATTTTCCTGTTTCATTTTAGTTATGTTTCTTGAAAATTTTGTTTTAAATTTAGGAGGCCTAATCTGAGATTGGGCCGCTAAGAAGATAATCCCCATTAACAATAATACTCACTGAAATCTTTGTATTTTAAAGAGGAAAATTGTAGCAGCAGTGCTGAGGACCTCGTTCAGAGCAGCAGTGTTTTTCCCACCTACACCAGTGTCAGGAATAAGAGAGACAATCTCACCCTGATCACCAAAGCTCAACCTTGTGTCCCAGGGTGTTCCATGGCGCTGGCTTTGATACCTTCATATTGATAAAAAAAACATTTTGTGAAACTAGTAACTCATTCTCTTTTTTAAATGTATTTTTCTTCTATTTCCATAGGTCTTAATTCTTATAAGCGTACACCTTTCTTGCACATAATAAAGTGTGCAAGAGTGCACAGGGAAGTGAGAGAACACGAACATAAGTAGAATAAACCATCCACTTTTATAAAGCAGATACTCATATGTGTACAGGTGTGGAAACAGACACGTACAAATTATTCATCTGTATTCATTTGCTGTAGCTCCTGAGTTATATTATTTTATGTAGCTTTGTGGTTTACACTCGCACAATGACCAGTGTGTAGTGCAAAATTATATCAGAGGTGGGAAGCAGCGGAAACTTAATTTTCTGTAAGAGTAGTTACTGATAAAGACGACGGATTTATTGACACGTCAGCGCCTAGAAGCTTCGGTGATTTAGATTCCTAACACACGCAAGTCTCATGAAGCTTGAGCTTCTCCGCTATTCTAGCCAAAATGATTCTGCCCAACTAAGATCCAACTGACTCGTGCTTGGCAGAGTCGTCTTATTTCATGCTCCGCCCACTTCTCTCTGACAGGTGATCTTAACCTGTGTTGAAAATGGTTTTGAAAACTGACAAATTGAAGAATGAGACACTTGTGCAACATATGGGAATCTTTATTTAGGAAACGTTCCACCAAGTGTGACCATGGTGTAATAGCACACAAAATGGGGGATAAAGGAATAACGGGAAAAGTTGGTAGATGGATCTGCAACTTCCTGACAAATAGAACAAAAAATAATTGTAAACAGTAATGTCTGAGGCAGCCATGGTAAAAAGCTCTGTTCCACAAGGAACAGTACTCACTCCCATTCTATTTCTCATCCTCATTTCTGACAGACAGATAGATGTTAGCCATAGCTCCGTGTCTTCCTTTGCGGATGGCACCCGCATCACCATGGCAGTGACCTCCATCGAAGACACTGCTAGACACGAAGCGGACATCAACCAAATCTTCAAATGGGCCACTCAAAACAATATGAAGTTCAACGAGGAGAAATTTCAACTACTCAGATATGGAAAACTTGAAATAAAAAATGTGTCAGGGTATACCACAAATTCTAACCATACAATAGAGCGGAAAAGTAATGTGAAGGACCTGGGAGTGATAAAGTCAGGGAATCTCGCCTTCTAAGACCACAACAATGTATCTACCTCATCCGCTAGAAAAATGATAGGATGAATAATGAGAACCTTCAAAACTAGGGACTCCAAGCCATGATGATTCTCTTCAAATCGCTTGTGCTCTCTAGGCTGGAATACTGCTGTACACTAACGGCCCCTTTCAAGGCTGGAGACATTGCAGACCTATAGATTGTACAAAGAACTTTCACGGCACACAAGTGCGATAACGCATCTAAACTACTGGGAACGGTTGAACCTTGATCTGTATTCCCTCGAACACAGGCGAGAGAGAGATATATGATAATATACACTTGGAAGGTCCTGGAGGGATTGGTACCAAACTTGCACACGAAAAACACTTCATATGAAAGCAAAAGACTCGGCAGGAGATGCAACATTCGCCCGATGAAAAGCAGGGGCGCCACGAGTACACTGAGACAACACAATAAGTGTCCGGGGCCCAAAATGTTCAATTGCCTCCCAGTATACACAAGGGGGATTACCAATAGACCCCTACTGTCTTCAAGAATGCTCTGGACAGGCGACTAAAGTCAGTAACTGATCACCTAGGCTGTGGTTCGTACGTCAGCTTGCGTGCGGCCTGCAGTAACAGTCTGGTTGATCAGACCCTGATCCACAATGAAGCCTGGTCTCAGACTGGGCCGAAGGGGCGTTAACCCACGAAACCCTCTCCAGGTAAACTCCAGGTAAACCAGCCAATGGCTTCTTCAGTCCAATACAGAAGACAACAGTGGAAGATGAGGAGTCTTAAGGTAATTAATCCCTCAGTCTGGAGTCCATCACGATTGGACAGAACACAGACTCCAGGATGAGGGACTGATTACCTCAAACTCCCCATCTTCCACTGAAGAAGCCACAGGCTGGAGAAACGTTTCCTCAATAAAGACTCCCAAATGTTGCACAACTGTCTCCTTCTTCAACTTGTCAGTATGTAGGCGGTGCTCTGCCTCGTTGACTATCATGTATACCAATTTTTTTTTTTAATATTGTAGCTTGCAGTTGTTACGTTAACGCCCATGTGTATAGGCCTGTTCCGGCCCCTTTCTGTAACAAGATGTCGAATCAGGCTTTGTCCTCAGACAAATGTCATTTTAATATGGGGATTACCATTAGGAGACTGATCCGACTAAATAAAATGTGATCTTTATTGTAAAAGAACCCATATAAAACTTAGTATATGATACAAAGTTCTCTCTCTTACAGTGTTATACATAAAGTACACGTTGTCTGGGACTAAGTAATCTTCTACAGCGAGGAAATGTATTAAAGGCTGAGCGCCTGAATCTGCTCAGAAGAGTGTATGAATCTACTCAGTGTTGTGAACGTACTCTGAGAGAGTGTGGGAACCTACTCAGAGCGAGTGCTGAGAACCTACTCTGAGTGTTGTGAAGCTACTCAGTGTGGGAACCTACTGACTATACTAATGCGTGGTAAGCTGATGTTAGGTTGGTTACGTGACTGGGAGACGCCAGTACCTGAACTAGTAACCGGCACAAACTAGTGGTTTCCATGAAAGACATTATATAACGCCTAACAAAACAATATAATATAGTACAATGTTATTAATACACATTTAATAAAGTATAGAGCAATATCCTACTGGAATATTTCTCAAATACAAATCGGATAAGGTGACACTCGTAACACCTCCCCCCTCACGACCGCAGGTCGCACCACAAACTTGAAATATAAGAAAGTAACGTCCACGGAACGTGTGAAGGAATGGTCAAAGATGCAATGATAACTGCGTAATCTACAACTTTCAGCATCGTAGCCCAACACTCCTTCGCAAGGTCCGTTGAAACAGTCCAATACTTCCAGACATATACTGTTAAAAATAAAAGATTAAGAGCTACATACATTTATAGATAGGATCCTCAAAGCCCAGAATTTAATGTAATAATACTTGATAAAAATTTAGTTTCAAACAAAATACAAATATTAACCATCTATGCATGACCTTATTTGATTCACTACCAAGCAATTTGCATAACAATTGCAAGTTAATTATCTACTAAGAAACCAAATTTATGCAAAATATCGGTCACAGACGAAAAAACAACGGATTACAATTCTCCGATTCTGTATGTCAAATTAAAATATGGTACTTCAGTTAGGCAGAAAATCTTTAGCTAATGAAGTATATTGCCTTTCAAAAAAAATCAGTTTTTAGCAGTGTACTCTGGCAAATGAACAAAAGAAAAAAAAGAAATAGAAAATTAGATTACTAATTGCTATTCTATTCCTCAATAAAACATTGTCAAAACTGAAACAGACACTCATCTTTCGTAACATGAATATGCCTTCAGAAACCTAAATACTTGGACAACTTTAAATACATATGTAGTGTAAGTAAAAGCTTTAACATTAGTTTCCCTACAGCGGAGTGTATGAGGTGGCAGTAGCAAAGCCACACTGGCTACTCAATGTATTTTCATGACTATAGGTAATCACTTAAGTTTCCATAACATTTCGAATAGGACAAATCTATGTCACATGAAAAATTAATTTTATAAATAACTTTCCATTTTCACTTGTTAGATTTAAATCTAATCTTCAAATAGTTCTTTAAAGAAATATTTTTAGTACAAAATTTATACTGGTACAAATAGTACAGCCATTTAGCCGTCAAAACACATCTCCATCTTTTCACCACATATGGAGCGAGTTCTGTACTTATTAAACTGTATTAGACAAATACGACCTTGTCAATTGCCAGAATTAAACAAAATAAAGACTGCATAAAAAAGCAGCTTAAAGCATGAAATACCTTAAATGGTAAAAATATTCATACCAAGCTGAAGTAAACATTCGTGCTATCTACCACAATGTAGATACCAGCTCAATGTAGCGGGAACGGCAGAAGACCTGAGTGTTACCCGTCTCAGCGTCGCCAATTGCCGAGTCCCTTACCGACCTCTTAGACATATGTTGCCTAGTCGACAAAACAGTCGCACTTTCCTCTGGAACACTAAGGCGAGTGGGTCCGGCAGCAGGAACTTTCGACAGCTTCAAAACTGGAAGAGATGTCAAGACAAGCGGCAGCAAGTCTGAAGAATATGCAGAAATTGTTGCTGATGAGAGCAACTTCTTTACTCTGGAGACCAAAGATGACGAGCGGAAGCGCTGAAGTGTACATAGGAGAAATCATCGGAGAGGGTCGGTTTAGTGATGTTGGAAGTTTATGCAGACTCCTGCTCAGGGACTAACTTGTGATACAGAGGCTAGTGTGTCAGGAGAGTATGCTGACTACTGCTCAGGGACTAGCTTACATGACAGAGGTTAGTATATCAGAAGTGTATGTTGGCTCCTGCTCAGGGATAGCTTATGGTACAGAGACTAGTGTGTAAGAAGGCGTGCATGAAATATTAATGCTGGGAGTGAAACCTTCCCCAGGCATCAAGAACGACGACGTCTTGAAGAGAATACGAAGAGCTTCCTGAAGTGTTCGTCGCGTCTCTACTCTCACATCCCTCTGATGGACGTGTGTACCTTCAAAACGACCTCTTCCAGGCCATGAAGGAAATTCTAAGCGAAATGCTCAGACGGAAAGATGCATCAGCACGAGACAATGTGGCGAGAAATTATTATTATTATAATAAAGAAGCGCTAAGCCACAAGGGCTATACAGCATGTGGCGAGAAAATAGTTGAATTTAAGGTTATCTTGGGGTTCAGACTAACCGTTCCTCTATGCCTCTTCTCAGCTGAGCCACAATACAA